CCTAAGGGTCAGAAAATAAGAATATTAGAAAGGAATGTACAGACTGTTATAGTATTCACAAGCAAAAGCAAAATTACCTATTTGGGATTAGAAATTTGCATCCACCTTTTGGCAAACCATTTTGCTATAATTAAATTAATTTGAAAATCAATTTTTAGAGTAGTGATTAAAGGGATGGTAAGTGATCAATAATTAGTGCAATTTTCACCCACAAATGAAGCTATTATCTTCAAAGTAAGTGAAAACCTTTTCAAGATGAATGCCTCAAACCTGTTGAGTATTTTATTTGAATATGAAAGATCTTTTGCTTCCCTGCTCCCTTCCCCTGAAATTGCTCATTTCTATCAATAAAGAATGTAATGCACGCTGGATTGATCTACTAGCCATTTTCAAGTTAAAGCTAGGTTTTATGGACTTCTAAGATTTTTCTGTTCATTGAGATTACAAATGTTTTGCTACTTTTGGACGAAAGAATGAAATGCAACGTTCTTGTCAATGAATAAATCACTGATTGATTCACCTGGGAATATAGCTGTCTGTTAAGAAGTGTGGATTACAATAGCCCTGGCTGGTATGCCTCACCAATCACTGAAGGGTCTCCAGCTCCCTAATGGTCAAGGGCACATACCTGGGTTGCAGGTTCCATCCCCACCCTGGTCAGGCTCATGCGGGAGGCAACCAATCGATGCGTCTCTCTCACATCAGTGTTTGTCTCTCTTTCCGTATTCCTCCCTCCCTTTCACTTTCTCTAAAAATCAATGGAAAAATATCCTTGGGTAAGGATTAACAATACAACAAAGTATGTATCAGAACAGATCAAAAGAAAGAATGGTTGTCACATGTGCTGACAGTAACCATTCTAGCTTTTGAGTTTGGGTGGCCTACTAAGTGCCAAGCAATGATCAAGATGTGTATGTGGGCTCGTTAACTCTCACCATAGTGACTCTGGATAATAAGTGTTACTATCACCACTCTGAGGTAAAAATGGCAGGAATTTTTCTGACTACACTCCAAGAAGAGATTTTACACATGCAATTGTTCATCACAGTCCAATATCCAACATTGTTTCTAATAGGTTAAGTGTTCACAGCACCAAGAAGGTGACACTTGATGCCTTTCAAACCCACAGGTTAACTATGCCGGCAGTTAACACTTTGCTCTCTATGAGCAAAGACTGCCATCCTGTGGAAGTTGCACATATTACAAAAACAATCATTCTATGGAACTAAACATTTTCATTGCACTCATTAAGAATTTTGCAACTAGATTCTTGCATTGTTGCACACATACACACAGACACACACACGCCAATGTTGCTTATAATTAGTAAAAAGGCAAAACTTGCCTTTAGGTGTGATTTTAAGTCTCATTTAAAGGTGGCAGTGTTTTTGGAACATTTGGAAAGATAAAATATCTCCTCCTTTAATACAAGGACTCATCCCATTAGTCTTTAACCAGTTAACTGCCACGATATTTTGAATTTAATTTAAAAAGGCCTGCTGCTTGCATCTATAGATGCTTATGGCGTGCAGATGGTTAAGGCAGTGCATTAGGTTGTGTTAAACTTTCTTTATCTAAGCTTTAAATGATTGTTAAATAACAAAAAAATAAGGCGTAGTGCATCCTTTTGATGGAATTTACGGAGCACTAGATGTTTTCGCTAGAATGTACAGCAGAACTCTGGGCTTACAGAACACTTTCATTCCCGTCCTATACTTCTATTCCATGCTGGCCGGTATCCTGGAATCTGTTGTGGGCTAGTCAGGGCTTGACTGAGGGATCCTATGGCCCACGTGGTCTATGTACCCCAAAGATGGAATCTCCCTGCAATGCCTTATCCTCCTGTGCTTCAGTGATGAGCCATGTAAAGGTGTGATGATACTCAAAGGCATGTAGAGATGCCTCTTTCCTATTACCCCTCATTTTTCCTGCCACCCAGCTCACTAAATCCACAATTTCTAGGACCAAAAATTACTTAGATAAAGACGTTGTGCTATTAGAATCAAAGTGGGTGACATAGAGTATGTATTCTTCCAATGACTTTTTCAAACCAATGTGTTTCCAGGTGTAGAAATAATAAAGACCTATTGTCAGTGATACCAGACACTGCTGAGGAGATGGAGTGGTCAATCATGGGTTCCTGAATGAATGTGGATGAATGAAAGAATAAATTAACATGAATGGAGGGCATTAAAAAGAAATGATATCACAGTGTTGCCTGGGCCATTCCAGCTGAATGTGCAGTGTTGTTTAACATAAATTTTGTACCCAAGGAAGTGCCTGGCATGAAATCACTCTTTAAATATTTATTGAATAGATGGGTGAATAGGAGGGAATGGAATAAATTAGAAAACAGCATCAGTGATAAGAAAAAGGTAGAATCTCATAGCAGAGCCCTTTTACCAAAAACTGTTGAGTATGTTTAATTAATAAATATGTGCTTGTTCTGTGTTGGGCCATATGGAAGATGGTGAGCACACTGGCATCAACCACGAAACCACAAATGATCACAAATAATGATAAGTGCCCTGAAGGAAAACTCCCCCATGTCCACAGGCACTAATACAGTGTGGTGGGTGTGGGAGGGCAGGGGAACTTGGGAGCTCATTTTGAGCCCTGATATGTTTTCATTAAGCAAATGCTGCTATAGTTTCCTTCTATTCCTACATGTTCCTAGAAACTCATATTTAAGAAGAGTTGGGTTTTTTTAGATATGGACAAATTTTTCCTTCAAGATATTCAATGGTATCTAGTCTACCTAGTGTCTTTAGGCAGGCAGATACCTAAAGGGTTTGCTAATGTCATTTGGATAGCACTCATGGACAAGTCAAGCAAGCAGTTTGATGTGATTACACATGTGTGTGTGATACCCAACACAGTGTCTCAAATTCCCACAAGGAGTTGTTCCTTTGAATCAAGGCACTATTTCCCAGTGTATTCCTCCAATCTCCAGCTCTATGGATTATGTTATTGGGGAGAAAAATGAGAAAGGGGGAATGAAAGTCAGACAAGTTTAGGAAATGCTGTATTAAACAACATCATGCAAGTTTTCTTATCTGCAGGTCTTCATGTGGCCTTTCATAGGCTGACTTCTCTGTAAATTTCCAAAGGGTGTGTTTTTTCTAGTTATCGACCATGGAACCCTTTTCTTGCAGAAGCCCTCTAGGTACTAGTGCACCATGAAACACACTTTGAGAAATTCTGTGTTTTCTAAATATAAATGGCTTTGCCTGGGATAGAGGGTGGAATAAAGGTGATCCATTAATATTATAAATCCATTAATATTCCTAATCATTTTGGTAAATTTAATTCATCAAATTAACTGCTGTTTTTAAGAACTTGAGACAGCTCCACTTCCTAAGGAAGAAGTCCAGGTTGTGAGGAGGCTCCTGGAGTGTCAGCAGGGGGCGCTGTGGGTGAGGCTATGGGAATATCCAAAGGTGGATGATGGACATTGGACCAACTCTCCCCGGGGCTTTCTTACTCTTGTTTAACTCAGGTTGAATGTTGACCCCACCCCCAATATTATATTTTAGCTCATTCTTATGGACCCATGGATGACATGAAACAGGTAAAATATCACCAAAAGTGAGTTATTTACTCCCTCCAGGTAGGCATAGTTTTCCTTTCTAACATTTTTAAGCAGTCTCTCCCCAAATAATCCAAGACCCGGGCCAAGAGTATAAATATGGGTCCACACCATTGAAGTCTTAAGTATGTAAAGGTGACAGATCAAGCTAAACACTGTGAGATAAAGTATGTTCTATCCTCTTACATTGGCAAAGATACCTTCCGTATCCCTGGGAGGCCGGGTCTGCACTTCTAATTCATGACTAGCTGGGGAGCTCTGCACCGACCAGTAACAGGGCCTGGACTCTGGTCCCCTCCCTCCCACATCCGGGTTTGTCCTGCACAAGAAAGGGTCTCACAAAGGTGTGTGCACCTGAGCACGCACAGCCAAGCTCTGCCCACAGTCCCAAACACCCCCCACACCCGTGTGCACCCACGGCTGTGAGATCTGCTCTCAGGAGACAATACATGGGAATGGGCCTTCACGAGCACTCCGAGCTCTTTGGCAAGAACTTCTAGGGAACCCGGAGGATGGTGCTCACTCTGGACAGGCTCGTGGCTTTGGCCCTGGCGGGTCTCACCCTGTGAGAAGGGGTGTAGCTAGGGGGCAAGGGGCCGGGCAGAGCTAGGCAGGTCTCGGCCAGCACCAAAAGAGTATTTGGAATTGAGAATAAAGCTCCTGTGAAAATCACACTAGAAAAAGCTGCAGTCTTTGCAGCTACCCCCCAGCCTCTGGGGGAAAGAAAAGAAGAAGAAAAAGGATATTTCTTATTTGAATGTAACTACTTCTGAAAGCCTCCGGTCAACTTTCCTTCCTGTTCTGCGAGGTGAGATGATTTCCCCTTTGGCACTGAAAGGGAAACTAGATCAGTTGTGTGAAAAACCAAAAATGATACATTTTCTCAACTTCAAACTTGTCCCAAGGCTTTCTCCCACACTGTGTTAAATAATAGAAGTCTTTTTAATTGAATTTCTTTGTGTGTAGCATATGCTGGGCGATATTATGCCAGCATCTCGCTCTAAGCAGCAACCCGTTCTTCATAAAAGCATTAAGACCCGGAGCGGCGTTCTGCATGTAGGGAAGGAACACAGGCCGGCAGCAGCTTGAATCCACATAAAATCAGCGCCTCTGAAATGTAATTGTGAAAACACGTTGCGACAAACTGGGAAGTGGGGGCGATACTTAGGATTATAGAATGAAACCAAAAAAAAGAAGAAGAAGAGAGAGGAAGGGAGGAGGAGGGACAGGACCGCGGCACAATTGTCTGCAGAATCAAAGCTATAACGGGTCCTAGCGTTCTGTCTGCAGGCTCATCTCTATATTCATTTCACCTCGAAAGCCACCCCCCTTTAGAGGGGGGTTACAAGTGGACGTGCTGTGGCCCGAGGCAATACCTGTAACACATGATTGTGTTCTTCATCCCTTCAAGGATCCTGGAGCTTCAGCAGAATGGCGACATGGACATCCTGAAGCACAAGTGGTGGCCAAAGAACGGCCAGTGTGACCTGTACTCCTCAGTGGACACAAAGCAGAAAGGAGGTGCCCTGGACATAAAGAGCTTTGCAGGGGTTTTCTGCATCCTGGCTGCTGGGATTGTCCTCTCCTGCTTGATAGCCATGCTGGAGACGTGGTGGAACAAGAGGAAAGGCTCCAGGGTCCCATCCAAAGAGGTACTTGACTGGGAGCTTGGGCAGTGAGCTGGGCCAAGGAGCAGGCTGTGTCCGCGGGGAGGATGATGGCGAGGGAGGGGTTGGGGGGAGGGTCCTTGTTGCTTCTTGTCTTGAAAAGTGGAAATAAATTTGTGAAGCCTAAAAATTGGTAAGGCCAATATCAGTTTCCATTTTAGGACATCCCAGATAGATGAAGAGGAGACTATCTAGTATTTGAAAGACTGATAATGTTATGTGCCTTAACGGGCTTTGAAATTCTCCCAGATCTCTGGATAGAATTTAAGTCAATGATTTGTTAAAGGCTGAGATTGCCTTGACCAGTTCACAAAGATGCTTATCTTTTTATTGCCATGACTTGTTTAACTTATACCTAAATTACTTGGTGTCTCTAAGATTCGGCCTAAGAAATCCAATATGACAGTAAAATAATTAGAATTTTCTCTTTACCACCAGTGACTGCTGCCCTCTCTCTGTATGTAGACCTAAGAGAAGTGGTTATGTTTTTAGCTCTGATGACCCTAAGTTTAACAAATCCACATCATGGAATCATCTAAAACTCAATATTTCTCCCTTACTCTTGAGTTAGCTCAACTCCAAGTCCATATTAAAATTTTTCCAGAGATCTGAGAGAATACTCACAGAATTACACATATTTATCTTAAAGTGGCATATGTGCCCTGTTTTCATAAAAAAAAATTATGGGATTTATAACTATCTTATTTCCACTGAACCAAAAATGTGAAAATGTTTAAAATAATAAAATCATATTCACTAAAGCTTCACAAATTGAAATGAAAAACAACCTAAATTTGCTGAGTGATCTGACTTGCTGGATAGCTTCAAGGGAGAGTTTAAGCTTTCTATAACTAGGCCTTGGCTAACTGAGGCCTAGAGCAAGTCCTGACAGGATCTGCTTTAATGCACAAATAAAAATGGCTTCTCGCTTGCATACGAATTTTTGCATGTTAATGCAGTCTTTCAAACATATCGGTTTCTAGTCTAAGAATTCCTTCCTACCACTTTCTATGCAAAATTGATCAGCACCATTTATAAGGAAAAGCCTGGCTTAGCAAAGATAAATCTTCGCTTCCTACTTGTCTGAAGGATCATACATTCTGCATTAGTGAAGGGTGAACTAAAAACGAATCAGGTTTTACTGTCGTATTTTCTTTGTGGAATAAGCTTCTGGTATCTCTACTGACATTGATTCAATGCAAAAGACCACATTAATGCAACATTAGAGCTGAGACTTCATGTTCTCAAAAATCTGGAAATTAAGGACTCCCCAAGCTCCTTATATGTTGAATTACTATATATGATATTAAATTTTTGCACTATTATATCTGTTGATGGATGACTACATTATAGTTGCTGTGGGAACCATAAAATTATCTTTCAACAATCTAAAGTCTCAGTGATAACACTGCATTAATGGATATTTTTATTGGATTTCGGAATGAGAAAGGAGAAGGAAAACACTGATGCACTCAAAATATTTTTCACTTAGGAGCACTATAATAGCACAATAAAAAAAAAATACATACTCCATTCTAACTCATGACAGCTAATCCAGATCTTATGACCAAATATTTTCTTTTATGATTAATAATACCAGAACCTAAACTAAAACTGCTACTCACATGTGAGGACTTGAAAAGATCTCTAAAAGTCCCTTGGACCTCACAAAATTGCCTCAGGTACTAGGCAGCTTGAGTGTATGAAGTCCCTCAGTTAGAAAGTGATTCTTCTGTGTTAAATGTTACTCTCTCCAAGCAATCTTATATATCTTTAGCCTGAGGAGAAATAACACTGTAATAGTCACTAGCACTCTAGTGTGAACTAGCATATCAGCATATTATACCACTTATCTCTAAGAATGGAAAGTTAGAGTTAGGAGTGAGTAATGGAAGGGAACAAATATCTCACTTGGAATGAAATACCCTGAAATAAGACACTATGGGTAAAGAAGAGGTGGGGGGAGAGGCGGGAATAAGTTGCCAAAACCATACTTTTTGTTTGTACGATTTTGCCTGGGTCTGTCGCTGCTCTAACAGAAAGCAATCACCCATCTTCTGCTTCCATATTTTGTAGTTGCATGTGGCATATGCTTATTTTAGAACTTCAGCTGCAAGAAAAATATTTATTATAGATAACCTTATCTCAGTATCTTATTGGTACCCCCGGAACCTGGGACAGTGCCTGGCTCATATTAGGTGCTCAATAAATACTTGTTAAATGAATAAACCCCGAAGTTCAGTTCATTACATATCATGTTTGCTGAACTACTTTTTTTTAACCATGGGAGCTAGTACTGATGAGAACCTTATCTTCTTTTTCTTCATCTCCAGGATGACAAGGAAATTGACCTGGAGCACCTCCATAGACGTGTAAATAGCTTGTGCACAGATGACGACAGCCCCCATAAACAGTTTTCCACCTCGTCAATTGACTTGACCCCTCTGGACATTGACACTTTGCCAACACGACAAGCACTGGAGCAAATCAGTGATTTCAGGAACACTCATATTACCACCACCACCTTTATTCCAGAGCAGATCCAGACTCTTAGCCGCACACTGTCAGCTAAAGCTGCCTCTGGTTTCGCTTTTGGCAACGTGCCTGAGCACCGAACTGGCCCTTTTAGGCACAGGGCACCTAATGGGGGCTTTTTCAGGAGTCCTATAAAAACAATGTCATCTATTCCTTATCAGCCAACTCCTACCCTGGGGCTCAATCTGGGTAGCGATCCAGACCGAGGCACCTCCATATGAGCATCAAACAAAAATCTCTTCACTGTTTCTTTTGTAGGACTCCCTTTGCAAGGAGCAACTGTAATGTTGTGGGACTAACATGGATGTAACATTTTTCTTTTTAATCAGGATTATTAGTAACAATTCTAGCTCTCCCTCCTCCCTCTTCTATTTCTGTCTCTCTCTTTTTCCCTCTCTTCTGATACATTTCCTTCTGCTATTATTCATTACTCTATTTGTTCCCCCAGAATATAGTATACTAGGATCCAATTAGTCCGCTTTTCATATACTGTACTTCAAGTATAGGAAATGTGCACTGAGAATACTAAAAGTATATATGCAGGATTAATTTTACATAAAGGCCTCTTACGTAACATTTCTCTATTTTTTGAAGATATAATTGCAATAACTTCAGTCTTTTACATTCTTCTGCTGCATCCATACAATGCTCCACTGCTGTTGAGTGTCCTTTAACTGTGGACCAAAGGCAACCCCTGCAGTGTCTATAAAATACTTTAAAGACCATTCAGGCCACGTAATATGAGAATGCAATTTTGTAGGACTACAAAAAAAAAGCCATTAATATGCCAGTCAAGACTACAGTTAAAATTACTCTTGCACTGCAACAGTGCATATGACCTTTATGTGATTGTACAGTATTAAAAGTTTTTTCTTATGTACAGTAAACTTTATCATATGGCAGAAGCCTCTATTGTGTTAAATAAATTAGTATCTCATACCTATACATATATATGCACCTATATAATGTGTATATATATTGAAAGGCGGCCATTGCTATTGCAATTCATTTAATAAAGCTTTAGTTTAAAAAGAAAAGTATTGTATACAGGAACTATGTATAGTGCAGGGGGTCTTTTCAGTTAGAAAAGGCAGGTTGCTTTAATGTTATTCTGACTCGCATTGTTTGCCAACAGAGAATATTTTATACTTTTGTTATTAAAACATCCAGAGCGATTTACTATTGGTTCCTAGATGTAACTCATTTGAATAGGTTTTGCATTTGTTATCCAGCAGTGCATAAAGCTAACCTTGGTAATAATTTTACTTTTAATTCATTATCTAAATGGGGAAAGCTATTAGCCGAACCACATCCGCAGCAGCACATAGAGCTCTATGAGAGTTTAAACATAGATCATTGAAGGTTGATAAAGTCTCTTCCAAAGCAGTCAGCCAATTAACACAACTGTAGTTGGGGAGAGGTGGGAGCCCTGAAGAAATATTGATGTGGCCTTAATTACCGTCATATGTTATCCTAAAAAAGAAAATATAATAACCAGACTGGGCTCTCTACTAAACCCCCTTTTTTATTTGGTTCTATTTGGAGGAGTTCCGTGTTTTCTACATTAGTGCCAAGTGTACAGAAGGATGACAGCAAAAACAGTGCCTTTTTGTGCACAACCCTTTTAAAGTAGCATTCTTACCTGTTAGAGATGTAAAATGAACTTTGTTTGTACTCCTTAAATTAAAGCGTGATAAGTAGGAAGCGAGAACTTATCCTGTGTTCTTAGCAGCCATACACTTATTTTACTCTAATTCTTTCTGTGGCTAGGATTGATGTAGGAACCAACGTATGTGATTTGCTTTAGAAGAAATTAAAAGGTATATTCTTAAGGTATATTATATTTTGATGCTAATTCTGTTCTGGGGAGCATCTTGTACTGTCACTGTTTTTGTACTAAATCTTCAAATATTGTCTACTGTGTAAGGCAGAGAAATTTCTTATCATGCAAAGACCATTTTGTTTCCAGGGTAACAAGTACTTAAGTGCATGCACAACTTGTTTTCCCTTGTAACACTCATGATCTCATCCACGACTCTGATTTTAAAACTAAAAAAAAAAAAAAAAAAAAAAAAAGCCTTTACAAAAAGCTATATAGGGACATACCAGATGTTTCAGTGATTTTAGCTATCAAACTGTTAACCATGTACAATATTTAAAATAGGCCTATTTTGATGTATTGCCTATTATACAAATACACAAAACACTTTTTGGAGGCCTCAGTTATGAGTGGCAGAGCTTTCTGTGTATAATTTGTCTAAATAATTTGTCTAATAAAAATGTTTTCTAAACTTGCTCTCATACCATTGAAGTCTTAACTACAAAATTTGAAAATGCTTACTTCCTCACCTATTGAACTGAGTTTTTCTAAAAATTTATCTTGAGTTCATTAATGCATAAAACACATTAAGTTTTGATAGCCAAACTTTGCCGAAATGTGTGGCCCTCTAAAAGCAATACTAAGTGATGTCCTAAACCAACGAAATACTGCTTTTCTGCTATCTGAGACTATCTGTACACACAATATATTTGTTTTTCTTTATGGATGTCTCTGTGAGCACTTTTTGGGGACAGATTTATCCTGTTGTGTGTAAACAGTGCAGTCACTATAATAGCAAAAAGAAAATCAAAGATAATTATTATACTTAGAGTTTACTTATTAATAATTGTTTTGCTGTTAGAGAAAAATTCATCATGCTGAATTAATTTGAAATTTAATTGTCTCTAAATTATTTCTAATACATTATTGCATTTGAACAATAACTCATCTTGCATTTAAATTGCTCAATGGTTTTCTATCTAGAAATATATTTAATTTAGATTAAAATTTCTGCTATTCTAAAATCCCATTGAAAATGAAGTTTTCCAATGTTGGAACCAGGCGGAACTGTAGACATCTAGACCATCTTGCCTCGTTTTACAAATAAGGGAAATAAGATGCCAGGAAGATGGGACCGGCCCACAAGTTTGTCAATCTGAGGCTTAAAACTGGGTCTTTTTTTGTTTGCTTGTTTAACTCTGCCAAGTCCCATTCGGTCACATTCACTGGTCCTCGTGGATTGGAAATGTAGGGATGGCTCAGGTACATGGCTCCACCCACTCCTCTGGCCCAGCAGAGGCTGTCAGTCTCTAGGAACCTCCCTTCCTGTCTGGGTCCACATGGTGCATCCCATTCACCCGCTCCCCTTAAAGATGGGAAAGTGAACACCTTGGGCTACTTCCCCAAGGTCATGGCTCCTGGCAGCCATCAGACCAGGTCCTGCTTCTGTTACTGCTACTTCCTTTAACCATTGTCTGTCCTGGTTCACACCACTTACACCCACCGGGCTATTTCAGAATAAGACAAATACCTTATATCCATGTGCTTCTATTCTTCTCATATAGTCAATGTATTCCTTTGGTGAATCATTAGAGTTGTCACTTTTAATCACTCGGAACTTATGCACAGGTTTTGATTTAATCACATATTAGAAAATTGTAAGACCTCCTTTCTTCCTCATACATATCAAACTACAGGCAATTTGTCATTTTCTTAATTATGTTATCTTCCATTTCCTTTAGTTTGGGATTGGTTGTGAACTGAATAAATACTTTCAAAAATAGACTCTACTTAATGGTACTTTGCTTCATCAATTAAAAAGAAGAAAAAAAAGATGAGAAGACCCATTTACCCCCACAAAATGCTTTCTAAGCCATACAATTGGATAACAATCTATCAGTACTTTATAATCAGAATTTTTGGAATAGTGGTACACATTCTGTATTATGAGCATAGTAAATAAAGCAGAACTAAGAACTTCTGTGCTGGTAAACATGGGGTTTATCCTTAAATATACTTTTCATGGTAATTGACAACATACAATGGGCTCACTAAAAATTGGCTTTCTTCTGCAGTGTTTATATTTCTAAAAATTGATTATAGTCCCAATCCTGTGACCAGATATTAATAAATGGCTAGCAATTGTGGGCATAGTTATTATTTCAACAAAATTTAGTAGATACCCACCCCCCATGAGATAGCATAAATGAGCTCCCGTGGGTGGAAAAGACTTCGTGACACTGAAAAACCAGGAAATAAAGCTATTTAGATTTGATAGGTTTAATTCAGTCCCATTAGTGTTACCAAAAACCTATGATGTGAAAACCACTATGCTAAGCAGTTGCAAGTGGCATAAATGAAGATACATGTTTCTGGATGGGTCTGGATGTGTTCTACTGTTATCGGAGAATTGTACAGGCGGACTGTCTCCATTGCTAGTGGGGTTCTTATGATATCTTGAGAAAAAAGAATTTTCTAAGGCTCACACAGGAATATGAGTGATTTTTATTTGCTTTGACTTATCTCCCTCAGTTCCCAAAGTCCCATTTCCCCTAAACTAGTCCTGACAAAATGTGCAGCTGAGGATTCAGCAGAGCTAAAAACAAAGCCAGTATCCACAATGTCAGCTCCATAATGAAGCTGAATCCGCTACAGCATCAGGCTAATTCCAGTCCATCGGTCCACTGTGTGCCACGGGGGCGAGTGAAGAACATGAAAGCCCTGAAAGCCAGGAGTCAGGCGTGAGCAGCAAGAGAACAGGGCTTCTTTGTATTTCAGATTTCGCACCCTTGCAGTGGCCAAGCCTATTCTGTCCAGTGCCCTGTTCTCAGGTATGACTGACAGGCCAACGCCCTCTCTACGTCATTCAGACCTTAGTGGGCATGCGTTTATTCTTTTCTTGTTCAGTCCCTTTCCCCAGGATCTGGGGGGAACAGACCTAGGGAGTGTTAAACTGCAGCTTTCTGGCAAAGCTGTACAAATGGCATACCTGTATTATCTGGCCTTCCCTTTGCTCCTCTCCTTTTAATTAATTAATAACCAGGCGATTACGACAGAATCACTACCACCCATTTCTTTCCTTACCCCATATCACCATGCAAGATATAGATGCCATCTTACAGACTTTCTGAGGTGGCAGAATGAGTCACCCAAACCAGTGCAGTCATCTTTGTGCCCAGACCATCCAACCAACTGCTGCAATCCATTCTTGTTCTCCAGGGCTAATTGGGTCTGTCCTCTTAGATTCAGATGATCTCCACAAAGAAGACCTAGATTTCCCAAGATGCCCAACCAGGAGGCCAAATTTTCAGAAATGTGAAAATTACCACAAGCCAGAGGCAAACTACTATCTGGCCCTTCCTCCTTATCAATACCTGCACTGCATACCATTCAGAGACTGACTCCTACCCTCCGGCGTCCAGTCAGAAGACACAGATAACAACTCATTTTCTATCCCTGTGGGCTAGTTCTCGTAGAGTTCTGCAGTGTTTTTGCTTCAGAGGGACCAAACTCAGCCAATTTTGTTCAGGCTACGTTTGAACTCTCATAAACTTTTACTTATATTGCAGCAAAGACTCCTCGCCACCTTTCCTCTCATCTCAGCCATAGGTTACACTGCGACCAATGAGCCTGAAGCATGTATAGTGTTCTCCTGACTGCCCACCATAACAACAGCCTCCGACCCACACACACTTCCAGAAAAATAGAAACTTCATGGTTCTGCTCCATTTTATAGAGTTGCACAGAGGCATACCAAGTACAACAGTTGCAGCAACAAACGATCCAGCCTGCTCTGAAGACAGAAACACACTGAAGGAGCGGTCTCTCACCTGCATTTTCCAAATTCCTATATTTTCAATCGTTTTTTGTTTGTTTCGATTCCATGTAATGTTAGTAAGTAACAAAGAAAAAATATTCAACTTTGAGAAATACTTTTTGTGATCCGAAAGCTCTCCCCTGATCTGTTATTACATACGATTTAGAACCAAGGGCCGCCTTTTGACTTATTTTGCACACTTCCTAGAATTTCTTCACACCGCAATCTGGACACATTGCCCATCCTCTGCTGGAGATAGACGTGGCCCAGCTGACCTTTGTGAGGAGTGAGGGCCTGGTTCCTTCTGGAGAAACCCTGTGGTGGTTCCCACTGCAGGATTAGCAGCGTATTTCAAAAGAAACTCTCTGTGATGTAATAGAAAATGCACAGAAGTTTCAGGGCAACATTAATCCTCATTAATTAAAAACTAATTAAGCTTTTATAACAGCTGCTTTAGAAGGAGGAACATATGTCACAAAATCAAAGAATGACACAACATCAGAACCAAAGAAGGATGAAAAGCACTGATTTAATAAATATTTTGCCTGCCACAAGATTTGAAATATGAGAAGGCACACTTTAGTTTTTAAAGTTGTTATATTTTATTTTTAAATTGGTGTTACTGAAATTTTTTAGAAACTAAGTGCCCTACATCTGTGGCTGTTTTTAATTTTAAAAATTTGACATCAATAAACAAATCATAGCTTGCTTATTCACTATGCAGAAGATTCATTATCGGGGGATCTTTAAGAATTAGTTTTTCACCCTACCCGGTTTGTCTCTGTGGATAGAGAAACTGAAGGGTCCCAGGTTCGATTCTAGTCAAGGGTACATGCCCAAGTTGTGGGCTCAATCCCCAGTAGAGGGAGTACAGGAGGCAGCTGATCAATGATTCTCTCTCATCATTGATGTTCCTCTCTCTCTCTCCCTCTCCCATCCTCTCTGAGATAAATAAAAATACATTTTTTAAAAAGAATTAGTTCTTCTAATATAACAAAATAAGATTCAATTTCCAAAAATTTAAATTCTATAAAACTTTTCAGGATCACAGCCATTTCCTGGAGCAAGGATTCCTATATTTATTTCACACTAGATAAATAAGGAGTTGATAGTTAATATTAAATGCTCTCCATAATAACATTAAAGTTGACTTTCAAGTTAATTCTAGCCCTCTATTAATATTTGTTTTTGAAATTTGGCTATAAGGTATGTATTTTTTTTGAAATAAAAACACTGAAATTAAGTTGAAAATAGAAGCATCACATGTCCAGCTCATCTAATTAGGACTCCCAGACTCAGTGCTGTGTGACTAAGGATGTTAAACCTTATTGCTCACTCACTCAGTTTTTTCCATGGAAATATCATGATAAAAATGATTTCATAAAACGTGTGCAATACCACTTCCCACATGTGTAGTCTCCAAAGTTTTTTTATTTTTAATATATTTTATTGATTTTTTACAGAGAGGAAAGGAGAGAGATAGTTAGAAACATTGATGAGAGAGAAACATCGATCAGCTGCCTCCTGCACACCCCCTACTGGGGATGTGCCCGCAACCCAGGTACATGCCCTTGACCGGAATCGAACCGGGAGCCTTTCAGTCCACAGGCTGACGCTCTATCCACTGAGCCAAACCAGTTTCAGCTCCAAAGTTTTTGGTGTGTCCAATTAACATGGTAAGTTCTATAATATAACTCAACCAGCAATTAATATATTTTAATTAATTCTTTCTTTTTCATCATCATTAAATGAAGTTTTTAATTCTTACTCCATAATAATGATTTTGTGTCTCTTAAAAAAAAATTATTAGTACTTATACCTAAACTAGAGGCCCTGTGCATGAAATCCATGCACTGGTAGGGTCCCTAGCAGCTGCTGGCTGCCAGCTGGGACCTCCCTTCCCACGGTTGGCCGACCGGCCCCTCCCGCTGGCCGAACTCCCAGTCGAGCTCCTGGTTGAGGGGACAATTTGCATATTAGGCTTTTATTGTATAGGATTTTAATAAGGCTACAGAGAGAATATTAGAAACAAAACAATCACACAGGATTAATCAGTGAAACTAATATAATATTGAATGCCAACTGTCATTGAAAAAGATGTTGAAAAAAAGAGATCAATCAGTCCATCAACTAACACTTTCTGAGCACCTATTATGAGCAAGGCACTATGAGATTTCCTATCTGGTGTGCCCAGGCACAGTCCTGGGCCTGAAGCAGTTCTGGCACTGAAGCTTTGATCCCCTCTCTCTCAGGGTGATAGGGTGAGCCTTGGCTGGATTTCTGCCCAGGGGCAGTTCTCTGCATTTATACCTGGCCTTTCCTCGGAGAGCTTCCAAAGTTAGAGAAACAAAATACCAACATTTGAAAAGTTAAACAAAAACTCATGGTTTAAATAACATAGGGAGACAATAATATGTTATGATTCAGAGTACATTTAATGGTCAAATTGGTGCTATAGAGAAAATATTCTATGAGAAGAGAAGAATGCAGCTGTGTGGCTTGGGGTGGTTTCATGTTTCATGGGATAAGTGGAAAGTTAGCCTGATCGCAGAGAATATGGAGAGGTCAGAAGAATGCAAAAAGGCTTCCAAGCAGAGGGTCCAATGCCACCAAAGGCACAGGGTGGGAAAGGATGTGCAGAGGAGCAGTAGCCCACGATGTCTGGAATATGAGTCTCATGTCAAGAAATAGCAGGAAGTAAGGTTTGGGTGAGATTGAGAAAAGCCTGTAGGCTGGGCTCAGGAGATTACACTCTATGCTGTTCCTTCATCCATTCATGTGTTCATGTATTCAACATATGTTCACTGAGGTCCCACTACGTTCAAGACACTATTCTAGGCACTAGGGATACACCAGGACACAAGGCAGAAATCCCTGCCCTTCTGGAGACAGAAAATAATCAGGATAAATAAGTGAAGTCCATAGTCTATTAGAAGATAAATGAGGTAGGGAAAAAGGAGGACGAGGA